ATGACAGCCCAAAAAAGACAGTGACTTATTTGCTTCGTGATCCTTGACTGTGTCACTCACATCTCCGGCTATATAGAGTGGTACCTCGGGATACAAACACCTCAAAACTTGAACAATTATGCAAGTGTACTTTTGTAAGTGCTTTTGTAAGTGTATTTTGGGGGGTCTGAAACAGATTAATCTAATTTACATTATCCTTATGGGAACGAATTCATTCGGTATCGGCACGAAATGTAATAAGTCCCGAGGTACCACTGTATACTCGTACTGTCTTTTTAACCTAGTGGTTATAATCATAAGCATGATTTTTCAAGGGGTGGAGTGTTAAGCCAGCGGAAGGTCTCGGTCAGATGACCAACTGCTCCAACTGTGGGTCATCATATGACCCACAGGAAACACTTGACTTGTTTCCTGACGAACATTATACCTACCTGTGTCTTAGGAGTGACCAAGGTCCCAGGGCCGTAACATTTTCTAATACATACGTTATTATTATAACCATGGGGGAGCACTAAACCCATAGGATTATATGCCTGTGGGGAGGGGGATGAAATATAATACTGTAACCTGTTAATCACTTCATCTCAGTTATAAATACTATTACTGCTAAACCACTAACTACCACTGTTGAAATATATAAAACAATATTCAGTCCAAACCAGCTATGATATACGCACCTCAAGTTTCATACAGCTCCCAACTCGAACAATTATTTAAGTGTATTATTGTAAGTGCGTTTGTAAGTGTATTTTTGGGAGTCTGAAATGGACTAATCTAATTTACAATATTATTTATGGGAGCAAATTCATTCGGTATCGGCACTCGTACAGCCTTCTGGAACGAATTACATTCGTAACTCGAGGTACCACATACAGTGGACCCCCGCATAACGATCACCTCCAAATGCGACCAATTATGTAAGTGTATTTATGTAAGTGCATTTGTACGTGTATGTTTGGGGGTCTGAAATGGACTAATCTACTTCACAATATTTCTTATGGGAACAAATTCGGTCAGTACTGGCACCTGAACATACTTCTGGAGTGAAAAAATATCGTTAACCGGGGGTCCACTGTATATCCCTAGTGTATTAAGTACTAGTCTGTAAAGCATCATGTTTAGCCTGCCCGAAATGCCCAGGCATGATAGTGGCTTTCTTTGTGCTTAGCAAATCAATATTCTAATTACACTTTGTAAACTATGCAAAGAAATAAAATCCTTAATCCTTAATCCTTTCAGGGTCCAAGGCCAAAATCTGAAGTGGTGCCCCAGTGTCCATGAAATTTTGAAAAAAAAAAAAAAAAAAAAAAAAAAAAATCTTACAGAATTAAAGAGTATATTTTTGTGAAGGTAATAAGACAAAAAAAAATGTTCTGATCAGTACTTACCAAGATACAGTGCCAAGAAGTTTGTCCAAAATGACCGGGTGGCGGCAACATCGAAGATTTCCATATACACGCATTACTTTATTTAACCTTTTTTGTAGTTTTTTTCTTTTTCTTTTTCCAATTTTTTTCTATTCCTACTAACATTTGGGGCCTGAGAGACCAATACTGTATATAATGTATATATATAAACTCACTGTATTGAACACAATAACCGCACTAAAGTTATTATCATATTATTGTTTACCACTGTTGTTTATTACAATAAACATGCACAAATATTGTATAATACTAATGTTCTATCATATATTTACATATTTACAATCACTGGACATGGTTTTAGAACTGCTGGAGCTTGTGGAACTCCTTGAAACAAGGCACCATGCACAGAGGCACCTTACATTCCTCACACATAAACAGTGTCTTTGCGTCTTTGTTGCCGTCGTTTTGTCTGTGCACGGACAATGCATCTCTTCTGAGCAAATTTCTTCTGAGTTGAAGGAAGCTGTATTATGAAATGATCACCTTCCCTCCTCAAACGCTTGGGTATATCCTGAGTAATTTGAGGACCTTGTTGTATTGCAGGTGTTCTTACCTGGTACTTCATTATGAGTTGTCTGACAACAGACAAACAAAATTCACCATACGGTGGTCTGTTGCCAGTCTTCATTTGGTACATATTATATGCATTGAGCATTGAAATGTCCATGAGATGGAAGAAAAGTTTCATGTATCACTTGTAACTCTTACGAACACAGTCAACAAAGCCAATCTGCATTTCACATTTATCAACGAAGCGCATGTTTTGTGTATAATCAATCACTGTCACTGGTTTTTGAATATGTTCATTAGTCACTCGATCAACTTTGCCACTGTCTTGCATTTCGTTACGGTGAATGGTTGTCAACAATGTGACATCTCGTTTGTCATGCCACCGTAATGCCATGATGTCATTGGCAGTAAACACCTGCACCTCATCACCACAAGCACCTGCGTTGAACCTGGGCATATGTTTGCGATTAGAAAGCACTGTGCCACACACACCTGTCTTGTTCACTCACAAGAAATCACTGAGTAATGGGCTTGTGTACAATGTTATCGGTATATAATGTATGCCCCTTACCAAGATAAGGTGCCATCATGCTTCTCACTACGTCACCTGAGATCCCAAAAATAACTCTTGGTATCTTTCAATGTTTTACATCCAGTGTATACAACAATATCCAATACCAGGCCACTGTCACAGTCACAGAGTACAAACAGTTTTATACCAAAGCGTTTCCTCTTGCTTGGTATATACTGCTTGAATGACAGTCTACCTTTGAACAAAATCAAAGACTCGTCAATTACAAGATTCTCGAATAGATAAAAGTACATGTTGAACTTTTGTTTCAGATACATAAAAACATTTCTAATCTTGTATAACCTGTCACTTCTGTCAGGCCTGGTTTTGTCAGAGAAGTGCAACATACATAACAGTAAGATAAACTTGTTCACTGGGATGATTTCACTGAAGACCGGGGTAGAAATTAGCCGATCTGTGGACCAGTATGCTTTTATATTATGCTTATAGACATGAGGCATAAGCATTATTGTTGCAAAAGCAAATACATTTCTGCAACAGTCGTCTCTTTCCACCGGTGTAGTCTTGACTGTGGTGATATGATCGTATTTGCCATGGTGTACTCAAAATACTTGTTACTTTCCCTGACAATAGTTTCCATCAATGGCTGGTCAAAGAATATTTCAAAAATTCCAGTTCATTGGCCATGGTTCCAAGGGGACAAGTAGGTAGAATTCCACTTTGAGAGTCATCAAAGTGGTGGGGCTTGGGAACAAAATTGGGATTTTGCTGCCAATCCCAGATACGGTTTGCTGGTGGATACTGGACATCATAGGCTGGTTGTGCAGGTAGTTGTGGTTGCGGTGGGCTGGTAGCTGATGCTCCGCTTTGTCCTTGAACTGAGAAGTCAGCAGCGTGGGTCCCAGCCGGGGCTGGCGAGTCACGCATGGCCGTGACACTACCATCACCACTATCACCACCTACTGATGCCTGTGGTCTATCCATGCCAAGTGTAGCCACATCATCCTCACTTTCACTGTCTATCCTGGTGTAGGGCCACGGGATGTACTCCGGATGTACTCCGTCCCCTAACACTGCATAGGGTACACTACCCGAGTGCATGCGGGTGGCGTATATACCGACGCTTCACTGGTGAATATGTTTCCTCACTATCACTACTCGAATGATCGTCGAGCGCAATAAAATCACAATCCACGTCACTATCATCATCATTACTGAAGTCAGAGGCCTGGCCGCACGAAAATACTAGTTTTCCTCTTGCGTTGAGGTACAACTGACCGTGGCTGACGAGTGCCCACACCAGAGGTAGAAGGGTGAGGATCGTCAGGGTTTTCTGCACTATTATCGATATCCTGGTCATTCCTTTCGGTCACTAACTGATCAAAGCCAAAGAATTCGTCTTCATTTCCACTTCCATCAGTGTCAGAACTATCAGATAGGAAGAGGAGAGTCCCAATTTTTCTTGGAGTGAGAGCTGCCTTGCGACGAGGCATGGTGAACAAAGGTAACTGAGCCGGCGTTCCCACAATGCTATGCAGGTGCCTAGAATTTTTGTTTATGGAGCACACCCACCACGCAGACCCGTTCTCTCACATGTAGGCCTATGAGCGTTTTCGCACTAAATTTGATGCCGCTAGAATTTTGGCATAGATCTACGGTTTGGACCCTGAACGTGAAGCCGTAGATCTATGGGACGGACCCTGAAAGGGTTAAAGGCATTCAGGGAACCAGAGCAGAGATCCAATTCCCTACATCTAGAGTCCCTCACCAGTGTCAAGGAAACCTTCCTTGAGGGGCTAATAAATACATGTGCTTGTTAAACTGGACTCCAGGAGCCTCTATGTCCTTCTAGACGAATGCTAATAGTGAAAATTAAGTTTATTTAGGTACAGCACCTGTACACTGTTTTGTGTGCGGCCAACAGTAACTGCCTAGTTAATCAGGTTCTGTAGCCCAGAACCTAACCTGCTGTATAAGTAGGGCCCTCGTGTACAGCAGTAGCCTGGAACCTAACCTGCTGTATAAGTAGGGCCCTCCTGTACAGCAGTAGCCTGGAACCTAACCTGCTGTATAAGTAGGGCCCTCCTGTACAGCAGTAGCCTAGAACCTAACCTGCTGTATAAGTGGGGCCCTCCTGTACAGCAGTAGCCTGGCACTTCACCTGCTGTATAAGTGGGGCCCTCCTGTACAGCAGTAGCCTGGCACTTCACCTGCTGTATAAGTGGGGCCCTCCTGTACAGCAGTAGCCTGGCACTTCACCTGCTGTATAAGTGGGGCCCTCCTGTACAGCAGTAGCCTGGCACTTCACCTGCTGTATAAGTGGGGCCCTCCTGTACAGCAGTAGCCTGGCACTTCACCTGCTGTATAAGTGGGGCCCTCCTGTACAACAGTAGCCTGGCACTTCACCTGCTGTATAAGTGGGGCCCTCCTGTACAGCAGTAGCCTGGCACTTCACCTGCTGTATAAGTGGGGCCCTTGTGTAAAATTTAACAACTAAAAGTAAGGAGATGAAAAAAAACTCCATGCATGGATTCAGCATTTATGGAATAGATTTATTAAACTCAAAATTACATACAATTGAGATTTACTATAATAAATACAGCTGTGACCCAAGTTACCAACAAATCACATTCCCTGTGTTTCAACTTACACACACCAGGCTGAAGGGGGCGTTGACCCCCGAAACCCTCTCCAGGTATTCTCCAGGTATACTCCAGGTATACACACAAGTTGTTTGCAAGCTTCTTGCCATTAACCTCTAGAATACATGACACTAATAATCATGGTTGTGTCATATATGTTCGCACGTGTTGCATGTGTTAGTACATGCTTGCATGTGTTGCATACATTCACGCGTGTCATGTGTGTTTGTACGTGTCACACATGTTCACGTGTCATATGTTCGCATGTGTCACACATGCTCACATGTGCCATATGTTCATGTGTCACACGTTTATATGTGTACACATGTTCACGTGTCACACATGTTCGCGTGTCACAAGTCACACATGTTCGCATGTCACACATGTGCCACACATGTTCACCACCAGAATCAAGGAACCTTCCTGGAAGGTTATTAACCTGGAAGGGTTAATGACTAATTAAAATATACGAAACACTGATTACAGAACAAATTACCTAGTTCTGGTAAAAAATTCTTCGTCATAAGGTGGTTTTTTATAAATGCTATTGACACGTTGCACCCAAATTTGAAATGCACGACTATGAAGGCATTTTCACTATCAGTCCTTTTTTAATGTACTTTTGCAATCATGTTTACGAAAAATCAGACTATATGGGGAAGTTTTATAGATCTTACTCTATACATAATGACCCGTGTATACATAACGTGTTTTATATATACGTACAGAACGTATACATAATGTATTTTACTTATTCATTATTTTTTATTCCTAACAGTATACTGAGTATTTAGTACGCGATAGTGTAAATATGTTATCAGGCGTTTTAGATACATTCGATAATGAAAAGCGCTCTTTTCCACTCAGTGTTGATTTTTATTTATTGTCCAGGATCAGGCACCTAACAGCCGTAAAAACAGGGCCCTATTGTACAGTGGACCCCCGGTTTATATTATTTCATTCCAGAAGTATGTTCAGGTGCCAGTACTGACCTAATTTGTTCCCATAAGGAATATTGTGAATTAGATTAGTCCATTTCAGACCCCCAAACATACACGTACAAACGCACTTACATAAATACACTTACATAATTGGTCGCATCGGGAGCTGATCGTAAACCGGGGGTCCACTGTATAACAATTCTTCTATAAATTGAAACACCAAGAACACAACTCATCCGTAAATGTGGCGAACTCCTGTAGTATATAGAATAACATAAGTGATTACATAGTTTGGAACAAGACTAAAGACTCGGGACAAAGCTGGGAGATCATCAGCATTTGTTTTTAACACATTGGCCATCTCCCACCGAGGCGGTGTGACCACCAAGGCAGTGTGATCAGTGAACCAGGACCACTGAGGCAGTGTGACCACCGAGGCAGGTGACCACCGAGGCAGGTGACCATCAAGGCAGGATGACCACCGAGGCAGTGTGACCACTGAGCCAGGACCACCAAGGCAGTGTGACCACTGAGGCAGTGTGACCACTGAGGCAGGGTGACCACAGAGGCAGTGTGACCACAGAGGCAGTGTGACCACAGAGGCAGTGTGACCACCAAGGCAGTGTGACCACCGAGGCAGTGTGACCACCAAGGCAGGATGACCACAGGGGCAGTGTGACCACCAAGGCAGTGTGACCACCGAGGCAGGGTGACCAATGAGACAGTGTGACTACAGAGGCAGTGTGATCAAGACAGTGTGACCACTGAGCCAGGACCACCGAGGCAGTGTGACCACCAAGGCAGGGTGACCACAGAGGCAGTGTGACCACCGAGGCAGTGTGACCACTGAGAAAGGAGAACCACTGAGGCAGTGTGACCACCGAGGCAGGGTGACCACCGAGGCAGCGCGACCACCGAGGCAGTGTGACCAAGGCAGTGTGACCACTGAGCCAGGAGAACCACAGAGGCAGTGTGACCACCGAGACAGGGTGACCACTGAGCCATGAGGACCACCGAGGCAGTGTGACCACTGTGACCACAGAAGCAGTGTTACCAAGGTTTCTCTTCATTTTTACGTCCAAATTTCGTAATCTATACAGAATGGGTTACTAGCCTCTTGCTCCTGGCGTCAGTAAAATGTAATCAGCATTTTAAAGTTTGCAGTATTCGTCACTCACAATTACAAACCTAAACTATTAACCCTTAAACTGTGCAAACATAGATCTACGTTCACGTGCGTAGCACTCCAACCTTTATTGTCTCCATTTGAAAGCACGTAAAAAACATAGATTTCCGTTCGGAGCGCTACGCACATGAATGTAGATCTACGTTTGGACAGTTTAAGGGTTAAAAATAACAGAGTTTGATTTCTTATAGAGCTATTGTATATTAAAGTGACTTTTTGCAAATTCAATTCAAAAAGTGCATTCATAATTGAACAGGATGTACCATAAAGGCCTATTCACATGTTATTCAATTTTAGATGTATTTTTTCAATCACATTTGCAAAAATATCGAGAGAGCCTGACTGTAGTCGCTGGTGTTTGAGGAATTGGAATTACAGGGAGAGGGAGCATCTCGATCCAGGGTGACTGGAGATAATCTCTAGATCCAAGGAAGTGGAGATAAGCTGGTCCTGGTGATGGGGACCTTGATTCAAGGAGTCGTTACCGTTAATTCATCTCTATGGCACACCGACACTTTCCACGCATAACTTCAGCTGCCATCACTGCCCCCAGACAGGTGCTCCGGATGGCTGCACTCTGCTGCTTGATCACCTTGTGTTGACGCCTGCGCTCTGAGAGCATTCTGCTCCTCCCATCTCTGCAGGACAGAATTAGGCACCGTGTCGTAGCATTTCTTGAGTGTGGCACCACTGAAGTCAAAGCCGGGATTCTAAAGAACAGAATCGTAAAAGGACACTGAACATTCTAATAAACACAGAAGTCGATCACAAAATTGTAAAAGACAGGAAACAAAGACAATGCAAAGAAATAAAGAAGGAAAAGCCATATATGGGTTACTGTCATCTGATGAAATAGCCTTTAAAAAAAAAAGGCACAACACCATGGCTGGAACACTACACAAATAACCCGCATGTAAGAGAATTAAACTTACGACGATGTCATAATTTTCAGTCTACTGCATGTGGGTTATTTGTGATGATGGAGATAAATAGTACAAAATGCAAACATGATGGAAAAATAAACACAAATACAGTGCAGTATAATGCAATTCTTTACTGACTATATTTGGCCCAAACAGTGGGCCTTATCAAGTCACTTGACTCACGAAATCATAATGACACGATTGCAAACAGGCGGGTTAGAACCTGCGATATGAGAGACATAAAACTCCAGACTGACGTGTTAGCCACTGGGCCAGCTGGCTACAATAAGAGTCATCCAACTAGGTATATTTATACACCATAGGAAGGTTAGCACAGGCACCACTGTGACCACAAGTGCAAGTTTTTATGGACGAATCTCCAGCTAGCATGACCATGACGAACTCTAGCTCAAGTTCCCTCAAAGCCATCAACATGACTCTGATCACGGGTTCTAACCCCCCCCCCCCCATGGTATGGTTTATCAAGTCACAAATGGAGCTACCTGGGTAAGGAGTACATGAGCATATACAATGTGGAGAGTCAGGTAGAGAATTTTGGGTAGGTTGCATATGAGAGGGACCTACATGGGACCTGTAGGTCCCTCTCATACACAACCTACCCAACATTCTCCACCTGACTCTCCACATTATATATACAGTGGACCCCCGGTTAACGATATTTTTTCACTCCATAAGTATGTTCAGGTGCCAGTACTGACCGAATTTATTCCCATAAGGAATATTGTGAAGTAGATTAGTCCATTTCAGACCCCCAAACATACACATACAAACGCACTTACATAAATACACTTACATAATTGGTCGCATTCGGAGGTAATCGTTATGCGGGGGTCCACTGTATTCACTTACTCCTTACCCAGGTAGATCTGTTTGTGACATGATAAACACAACTGTGCAGGTGAAACATTACACTGCATTTGCATTTATTTGTAAAACACTAATTTGTGAATCTCCAATTTACAAATGCCCCGAGTTACACACACAAATACAAACAGGGCACTTAGGCACTAATTCAGGTTCTACATTGCTGAAGTGTGGTGCAAATTCACATGTAACAAACATTTTTGACTAAAGAAAAAAGTCACAATACCGTGACTGGAACAATACACAAATAACTGGCACATACTATAATAAAACTTACGCGATGTTTCAGTCCCACTTGAAACCAATAACTAGTCCTGGGTGATTGGTTAATGGTCTAAGTGGGACTGAAACCTTGTCATATGTTTCATTATCCTATGTGAGGGTTATCTGCGTACAGGTGCTCCTCAACTTACAATGCGGTTACATTCTGATGAACTCATTGTAAGTTGAAAATATCCTAAGTCGAATACGTATGAATACGATATGACAAGTTAATAAATAACTATTCTCACTGAATAAGTAAATAAATAATTATTTTAAGTAAATACCGGTAATGAAAATAAATAAACGAAGTTCACAACATGAATGTTCGTATGTAGAAGAGTCTCTGTATTTTTATGACCACTGTTTTCTATGACAATTTGTTTGCAAGATGAAACACCAGGAATGTGACTTGTTTGTATGTTGGCATATCATATTCATCACAGCCTGGTTGATCCAGCACTGGTCACATTCTTAATCTAGTACAGGTCGGCCATCACTAATCCGGCATCACTGAGACCTGTAGTGTGCAGGATTAGCGAGTTTGCTGGATTACAGAATGGTTAGGTTAGAATACACTTAATTAACCTATCAAGAGAGAGACTGCTATATCTTCCTCATTATCATCACTGGTTTCTCCTCCACTGGCTTGCTGCTGCTGTGGATTTACAACCATCTACACAATTTCTGAGTCAGTATAATGTTGAAATTTTAAATTATGCTAGTTGAAATTAGTGCTGGATTACTGATGGAACAGGATAACTGATTGCCGGATTAGTGATGGCTGACCTGTATTTATTTTTTTTTAATACTGAGGCTCTCTCTCCCACAGGAAACGAGACCTGACAAAAGAAAACACTTTCACTGTCATTCATTCAATCACTGTCTTGCCAGAAGAACACTGGCAGTACAGTTATGATGACCTTCCAGACTGTGCTCTCCTCACCCCTACTTGCACAATAAAGTTGTTTAGACTTCCTGACTAGATTGGCAAGTATGATAGTTCCTCCCATATCCATGGGGGATATGTTGCAAGACCTGCCATGGATATCCAAAACTGCACATGGTAGCAAACCCTATGTCATTTTTCCTTTACACATACCTATGATAAAGTAAAGGGACACGAGTGCAACTAATGTGACATTTTATTGTGGCAACGTTTCACTCTCCAGGAGCTTTTTCCAGCCGTTATGGCTTGAAAAAACTCCTGGAGAGTGAAACGTTGGTCGCACTTCTGTCTTTTTACTTTACATATCGTCGGTAATTCTACCAACATTAATACACCTAAGACAGAGTTTAGTTGAAAAATTATGCACAACAAGTCAAGAATTGGTACTTTTTCACTGATGGGAAACACTTCACAGCTTCTCTTAGTCTTCGAAGAACTTCCATCATCACTACTTCTGTACTTGGGTGTCTTAAGCCAAATTAAGGATTATTTTGGGGCCACAGTAAACTGTGGATAACTAAAAACATGGAACCATGGCTACTGGGGTTCTACTGTACTGCTGTTTATCATCTGGTCTGATCCTCTGAAATTAAGCCCAATCTGAACTGTCTTTTTCTATTTTTTTTTTTATCAATGGATTTGAGACAGCTATCTGTAAACCATGGGCTGTTTATTCTCGCTGTTGTGATCTATTTAGTAACACCTTCTCCTGTATAAATTACTAAATTTAAAGAGAAAACTTTCTCTTTCTTTTTAGGTCACCCTGCCTTGGTGGGATACAGCCAGTGTGTTAAAAAAAAAGTCTATTATAAAGGTTTTGGGTTTTGTGGTGAAAAATTTTGATAAATTCATCAATATCATGACTGTCAGCTACGTATCTCTTTCTGCCAGTCAATGTCACTTAATGCTGAAATAAATTTATTAACTGACAACTCATCATGGAAACGAAATGAGATCTTACTGGTGTCTTGTGGCAATTTACATAAGCTGGTGGAAGGTGGAGTAGTGGTCTGTGCTGTTATCTGTAATTATCCCTGCTTTGAGCGGGGATATAGTATTGGTCCAAGACAGAATGAATGACAGTGAGAGTGTCTTCTTTTCTGGGGTCACCGTACCTCAGTGGGAGGCGACTGGTGTTTTAAAAATGAAAATCTATGAAAAGACATTAACGATGTATATAAAATGAAAGTAATTCTGATGAATACAATGCGTACACATGAAAGTAGATTTAAAGTATAGCACGGGACATTATGATAAAAAATAAAGTCCAGCCAGCTTTATAATTTCAAAAGTAGAAAATAAAAAAAATCAATTGTCGGAAAGAGAAAGAGTAAAATTAAGGTACAAAAACTATTATAAATGTACATGTACATAAAATATTTATCTCCATGGAGACGTGGGTTAGAATCCTTCCTCTGTAAGCCGTGTGTGTCTTGAGAGGCGACTAAAACACCAAGAGCAAGAGGCTAGTAACCCCGTCTTCTCTCGTATACGTTATTAAATGTAAAATGAAGAAAAACTTTCGCTGTTTCTTTCTTGTGACACCCTGACTCGGTGGGAGACGATCGCTGTGTTTGGTCCCAAGAAGGAGGGGAGCTCAAATTCCTTGGATGAAGAACTCTATCAGCATCAATGTGGTCTAGCCTCATAACCTGGAGTAGCCATGTTTCCATCTAAAATAATCATTATCACTACTCACATGCTCTTCTGGCAATGTTATGATGACCCTTCGAGGTAGGTTCCTTGATGCTGGTGAGGGGCTCTTGATCTAGGCCCCTCAAGGTAGGTTCCTTGATGTTGGTGAGGGGCTCTTGATCTAGGTCCCTCAAGGTAGTTCCTTGATGCTGGTGAGGGCTCTTGATCTAGGTCCCTCAAGGTAGGTTCCTTGATGCTGGTGAGGGCTCTTGATCTAGAGAACTGGATCTGTGCTCCAGTTCCCTGAATTGAGCCTGAATACCTTCCATCCCCCCCCCACATGCGCTGTATAATCCTCCGGGTTTAGCACTCCTCCATGATTATAATAATAATATAATGTTACGATGATCTTGACTGACTGTGGGTGAAGGACACGCGTGCACAGATCAACACATTTATTACGGAAATGTGTTGCCATGAGTGTCTACTTCAGTCTTCGTAGGACTGATGAAGCCACCCATGGCAGTACAGTGGACCCCCGGTTAACGATATTTTTTTCACTCCAGAAGTATGTTCAGGTGCCAGTACTGAACGAATTTGTTCCCATAAGGAATATTGTGAAGTAGATTAGTCCATTTCAGACCCCCAAACATACACGTACAAACGCACTTACATAAATACACGTACATAATTGGTCGCATTCGGAGGTAATCGTTATGCGGGGGTCCACTGTAGTTTCCTTAAATGTCTTAATCAATGCACAGATGTCTTTTACTTGCAAAACGTTGCATAATTAGTGGCTTTCCTCTGTGCCTATTAACCCTTAAATGGTCCAAACGTATATATACGTTTTTTCAACATCTGAAAGTATGTAAAAAATGTAGTTCTTCTTTTTTGTTTTACATGTGAAAATGTGTAAAAAAAACTTTTATCTACATTTTTTTTTGTTATATTTGAAAATATGTAAAAAAAAAGTAGATCTACTTTTGTAGCTACGAATTTGAACGTCGATCTGTTTGGACCGTTTAAGGGTTAATGTACGGGTACTCCTCACTTAACGACCAAGTTTCGTTCCTAAGAGCAGGTCGGTAAGCAAATTGGTCGTTAAATGAGGAGTGTACTGTACTGGTAGTGGGTTTGTGTCAACCATCTTAAGATACTTATTTAAAATCACCTTTGTACCATTTATGACATTTTTAGTACAGTGGAACCTTGGTATGCGACCTTAATTCATTCCAGAAGGCTGTTTGAGTGCCGCTCCGTTTAATGGAACAAGTTCTTCCCAACCAATTTTCTGTTTGGTTGGCTGTTATCACTAATCTCTGTAGAGCCGATGGTGACTTATTTATACAATACAAAAAACACCAAAAAATGCGAAGAAACACGAAATAGTTTACAGCAAAGTTCTGGCAGGTGGTATTTGTTTGGTCGAGTGCTGAGCTTCGTTCGAGTAGGGAGCTGGTCGTATACCGCGGTTCCACTCTTTATTAAAAATAGAAATATGCATTAAAAAAATTAAAAAGTAAAACACACGTACAGTACACTGGTCAGAGAGCTGGTCGTAAGTCCGAGCGGTTGTTAAACAGGTAGGTTGTTAAGTGAGGAGTACTTATACTAATTCTTGTATAGGTCTCCCTCAACATTCACGTTTTCAGCTTTCGCGGGCTTCACACATTCGCAAATTCCCAACTGCCAAATTCCCAGCCACCAAATTCCCAGCCGCCAAATCATATTCAAGTTTCTCGCCACCTGCGAGTCCCTACTACCCTCCCATCGACCCCCGCAACTGGCAGCCAGCCCTCCCACCACTCAGTGTGGTGAGTGTTTTGTTTGTTCATTATTTGCTATTAAACTACAGTATAAATAATGTAAACCCATTCATGACTGCATATTGGAATGGCTATTTGGACAGGTATTAGACGGTGACATCTTGTGTTTACTCTTGAACACTGCAAAGAATCAAACATTTCTGCTACTGCTAATAATAACAATAGTAATAATAATAGTAATAATAATAATAATAATAATAATAATAATAATAATAATAAAAATAATAATAATAATAATAATAATAATAATAATAATAATAAAAATAATAATAATAATAATAATAATAATAAATACAATATAATTGAAGAAGGAAGTTGTACAAAAATACGAGGGAGTGGTTGACACATCGTCAGTGTGGCTTTGTTTATGCTGGAGTGAACATTAGTCTCCCTGCTCTTCCAAACATTTCACAATAATTCATTGTGTTTGGTGCTTGTAGATTGAGTGTGACTGGAGTGGTAGTGGCAGTGGTTGAGGCAGCGATTGAGGCAGTGGTTGAGGCAGCGATAGAGGCAGTGGTTGAGGCAGCTGTTGAGGCAGTGGGTGAGGCTGCTGTTGAGGCAGCTGTTGAGGCAGCGATTGAGGCAGTGGTTGAGGCAGCTGTTGAGGCAGCGATTGAGGCAGTGGGTGAGGCAGCTGTTGAGGCAGCGATTGAGGCAGTGGGTGAGGCAGCTGTTGAGGCAGTGATTGAGGCAGTGGTTGAGGCAGCTGCTGAGGCAGTGATTGAGGCAGTGGTTGAGGCAGCTGTTGAGGCAGCGATTGAGGCAGTGGGTGAGGCAGCTGTTGAGGCAGCGATTGAGGCAGTGGTTGAGGCAGCTGCTGAGGCAGTGATTGAGGCAGTGGTTGAGGCAGCTGTTGAGGCAGCGATTGAAGCAGTGGGTGAGGCAGCTGTTGAGGCAGCGATTGAGGCAGTGGGTGAGGCAGCTGTTGAGGCAGCGATTGAGACAGTGGTTGAGGCAGCTGTTGAGACAGCGATTGAGACAGTGGGTGAGGCAGTGGGTGAGGCAGCGATTGAGGCAGCTGTTGAGGCAGCGATTGAGGCAGCTGTTGAGGCAGCGATTGAGGCAGTGGTATTTAATAACATACATGTTATTAATAATAATAATACATGTTATTAATAATATGTACTATTATTATTTATAACATATATGTTATTAAATGCCACTGCCTCAACTGCTGAATTATTGTGAAATGTTTGGAAGAGCAGGGAGACTAATGTTCACTCCAGCATAAACAAAGCCACACTGACGATGTGTCAACCACTCCCTCGTATTTTTGTACAATTTCCTTCTTCAGTTATATCGTATTATTATTATTATTATTATTATTATTATTATTACTATTGTTATTATTAGCAGTAGCAGAAATGTTTGATTCTTTGCAGTGTTCAAGAGTAAACACATGATGTCATCGTCTAATACCTGTCCGAATAGCCATTCCAATATGCAGTCATGAATGTGTTTACATTATTTATACTGTAGTTTAATAGCAAATAATGAACAAACAAAACACTCACCACACTGAGTGGTGGGAGGGCTGGCTGCCAGTTGCGGGGGTCGATGGGAGGGTAGTAGGGACTCGCAGTGGTGGAGGCAGTGGTGGAGTCTGTGGTATTTAATAACATACATGTTATTAAAGCATAACATGTATATATTTAGTACAATTTACGACATTTTCATGTATTTTATGATTGTTCATGGTTCAACAAGTTAAGCAGTATTGTATTATATTTCCCTACAATATATTGAGGCACCAAACATTCACGGTTTTTCAACATTCGCGAGGCTCTTGATCCCCTAACCCTCGCGAATGTTGAGGGACACCTGTATACTTACTGTATTAACCCTTAAACGGTCCAAACAGATCGACGTTCAAATTCGTAGCTACAAAAGTAGATCTACTTTTTTTTACATATTTCCAAATATAACAAAAAAAAATGTAGATAAAAGTTTTTTTACATGTTTTCAAATGTAAAACAAAAAAGAAGATCTACATTTTTTTACATACTTTCAGATGTTGAAAAAACGTATATATACGTTTGGACCATTTAAGGGTTAATTGTATGGCTCAGAGAATTAAAATAATTATTATTATTAGCCTAGGTAACTACTTACCTTGTTACTGCTTTTCACATAGTTAAGTTGCCTGTTTTAACTTTTAAGGTTTAAATAATAAGTTATTACAAGGACCACAATGGAAATAAGTCACTTGTCCAGCTTTTATTGTGTTATCGTAAGTAATCTACACATATGTTGCTATGTATGATAATTAATGTAACTGTATTTATATATACCTGTACCTGAATAAATTTACTTACCTTCAAGGGGTACAATCTTCGTTGTGAGCTGCTGGAATGCTCGGATAATATCCCCTATTAGTCCCTCGGTATATATTGAGGGTTTATTATATTAGCTTTAACCCTTAAACTGTCCAAACACAAATCTACGTTTACGTGCGTAGCGCTCCGAACATAGATCTACTTTTTTTACATGCTTTCAAATGGAGAAAATAAAGGTCGGATTACTACGCACGTGAACATAGATCTACGTTTGGACAGTTTAAGGGTTAATATGCGGAGACCAGAAATGCTCTGCAAAACTTTCCGCATTCATGCCTAAATACTGCCCATCTCTGTATAAACATTGTATCATGCTGCAATAATTTTTTTTTCAACAAACCGACCATATCCCACCAAGGCAGGGTGACCTAAAAAGAAAAACCAAAGTTTCTCTATTTCAGTAATTTAAACAGGAGAAAGGGTTACCAGCCGCACTACCGCCCACAGGATGGGTATGGGGTGCATAATAAACATATTAAACTGAAACAGTCGCTTGCTTCTGGCATTTATTATTATAGTATTAGTACGTATTATTATTATTAACTAACCTCAATCTGAAATCGTTCTAAATCCAATTTCTTTCTCATCTCGAGGATGGTCCAGGGGTCGGCGAGGAAGTTGTCAGTGAGGAGTCCCTCCCAGAGTGTCTCCTTGCTGCAGGCGTCAGCCTTGGTCATGGCGATGTGTAACATCCTCTTGTCTTCCAGAGTCCAGACTGTCTCGTCTGCTCTCACTACAGCATACAGGCGACCCTGCAAGTTAAACCAATAGATGTCCCTGTAAGTTAAACCAACAGACATCCCTGCAAGTTAAACCAAGAGACATCCCTGTAAGTTAAACCAAGAGACATCCCTGTAAGTTAAACCAATAGACATCCCTGTAATCTAAACCAACAGATATCCCTGCAAGTTAAACCAACAGATGTCCCTGCAAGTTAAACCAACACAGTGCTGCTGTACTAAGAGGAGCCTCAACGCAAGAGCCAGTTACATTTCTTCTTTATCACACCGGCCGTCTTCCACAAGGAATGGTGACCCCCAGGAAAAGAGTTAATAAATTTCAATACTACTGTCTGATGTATGGTGACAGTTGTCCAGAAAATAAACAGCATTGTAAACACACTTTAAGGTCTCAGTGGTGAAGGGTACAATCCTAACTAATGTTTAATATGGTACAAATGTTATAATTGACAAAATGATGTACAGCAATAGCCTGGAGCCTAACCTGCTGTATAAGCAGGGCCCTCCTGTACAGTACAGTACAGTACAGTAAGTCCATGTACAGTACAGTACAGTAAGTCCACGACTTACAAAACGCGTTGAGAATCTTTTGTACTGTGTATAATATCATTAGTAAGAATGATAACAAATGATAACAAATTCCCACTCCCGCCAGCATAATCCACCAATTTTCAAAAGTCTGAATCTGCTTACCATTAAGAACATCCATACTTATTCATGTGCCTACTACATACACAGAACAATACACACAAATATAAACCTCCCACTCAAACTTCTCACCAACCTAAGCAGGACACTTGACCACAACACAAGACACAGATCTCTTTTTGATCTACCTCGTGTCCATATCACACTGTGTAAAAACTCTATGAACATAAAGGGCCCTAAAATATGGAATTCATTACCAGAAGATATTAAAGTAACCCAGTCTGAAAATCAATTTAAGACTCTTCTCAAAAGCCACTTAATCACCCTAGACTAAATGCTAAATACTCAGTACACATTTACTCACCTATGTACTCCCACATCATAACTGAAACAATCACATTGAACCTTTTATCCAGTGTTGACAGGAATATAATTGAATCATTGTTTTTCACAAAAGCATTTTAGAATATAAATACGTATATCTTTGTATTAAAACAAATTTTGATTCATTTATAATTAATATTCTACTGTACAACTATGAAATAATTACTTCCTACTGTACAACTATGATATACTATTTCTTAGTATTAAGTAGACTGTAAGCCAATAATGTTAAGTTGGCCCATAATGCCTAGGCATAATAGAGGCTCTCTTTGTATTGCAACCCACTATTGTATATACAACAATCTCAAAGTACTGTTTGCAAAGACATTAAATAAATAAAATAAATAAATATCATTATTATATTATTATTATTATTATTTATTATTATTATTATTATTATTATTATTATTATACACAATACAGAAGGTCCCCAATGTGTTCAGAAGTTGAGAATGAAGTGTACTTAGCTTGGTACATATGATTGTTGGAACATTACCATGCACCACTTGTAGCCCAGCAAAACAGTAAAGTCATTGAAAGACTTGAAAAAGTATAAAATACAGTGGACCCCCGCCTTATGATGGCATCGCATTATGTTATATCCGCCATACAATACATGTGACGCAAAAATTTTGCCTCGCCTCACGCGATTCGTCCGGATGCATCCCACGTGTGGCCTCAGCGCCAGTGTTTTACAAGCCAGCCAGTGCGGTCGCATCCACACATGCATTCGGTGCATTCACCTTATCCCAGTGTTTTTTGTGCTTGTAACTACAAATAAGTCACCATGGCCCCAAGAAAGCTTCTAGTGCCAACCCTGTGGTAAAAAGGGTGAGAATAGTGTGGAAATTAAGAAAGATTTTGAAGGGTTTGGGGCTAACCCTGAGAAGCCTATGCCAGTTGTGGAATCCATTGTGCCTACTTCAAAAGATTAAGGAATTTTATTGACCTAAGAAAAGCATTTGACACAGTAGACCAGCATCCTAATCCACAAACTTAACACTATGGTATAAGAGGCCATGCGCTTGCATATTTAAATCCTACCTTTCTAATAGGTATCAGTAGTCACCATTAAAGACACAGCCTCATCAATACGGCCACTCGATACTGGAGTTCCGCAGGGAAGTGTCCTTGGTCCCCTGCTCTTCCTCATTTACATCAATGATCTTCCAAACATATCCCAACAATCTGAAACCCATTCTCTTTGCTGACGACACGACTTATGTCATCTCCCACCCTAATCTTGCCACCCCTCAACACCACTGTTAACGTGGAGCTGCTCAAAATATCGACTTGGATGACAGCCAATAAACTTACACTTAACACTGGCAAAATCTACTATATTATGTTTGGTAACAGAACAGGTGCTGCACAACTTAACATTAAGATCAACAACACTCTAATTGCCAGACATAATGAGGGCAAATTCCTTGGCCTATACCTCGACAACAACCTAAATTTCAGCACCTATATCCAACACATAACAAAAAAAGTATCCAAAACGATGGAGATCCTCTCCAAGATACGATACTATGTGCCGCACACTGCCCTTCTCACAGTATACCATTCACTTATAATACCATTACCTCACCTATGCTATCTGTGCTTGGGGTTCAACTGCAGCAACACACCTAAAGCCAATAATAACCCAACAAAAAGCCACAGTAAGAATAATCACTAAATCCCATCCCTGGCAACACACCCCCCCCACTCTTCATAGATCTAAACTTACTCCCTGTTCAGTACACCACACTTACTACTGTGCAATCTTTAATCTACAGGACCTTAAATTTCAATATTAACCTTGACCTAAAACGCTTTCTTGATAGTCGTGACAGGATCCACAGGCATAACACCAGACACAAACATCTTTATGACATTCCCCGTGTTCGACTAAACCTTTACAAAAATTCATTGTATTGCAAAGGACCTAAAATCTGGAACACCCTACCTGAAAACTCTAGAACTGCAGACACATTCATCACTTTCAAAACTACAGTCAGAAAACATCTTATCTCCCTGATCCACCCCAACTAACTACATGATAACCACCTGGTGGTTCACAATTACACTCACTCACCCACTGACTATAAACCCAGAAATACTAATCTTAACCTTAAAATAATAAATCCTAACTAGTCATAAGTTTGCCTATGATACTCCAATATAGACACCTTGTATTGTGCTAAAACAAAAGCATTCACATTGTTAAACTCACAAATTATGATGTAGTCACTTAGCCTTAATACCATAATCTGTAAGGATTTAGTGTTAAGAATTAATCTAAGTCTGCCCGAAATGCCTAGCCATGCTAGGTGTCCTAGTGGCCCTCTCTGTAATTAGTATTTTATAACATGTAAACCACACAATACCCAAAACCTGTAAACCCCACATTGTAACCCTTATAGAGAATAAACTTGAATTGAATTGAATTTAATTGAAGTATGGATGAAAATCATCCTAACACAGCTATTGCAAGCCGTGCTGGTGACTATTACAATGACAATGTTGTGGCCCATTTTAGGCAAATCTTAAAGGAACGGAAGGTACAGAGCTCTATGGACAGATTTGTTGTGCGACAGAGGTCCAGTGACTCTCAAGCTGGTCCTAGTGGCATTAAAAGAAGAAGAGAAGTAACCCCAGAAAAAGACTTGATACCTCAAGTCCTAATGGAAGGGGATTCCCCTTCTAAACAATAACAACTTCCACACTCTCCCCTAATCCCATCCCATCAATTATCACCAGATCTTTAATAAAGGTAAGTGTCATGTATTCTATTCTTAGTAGAGTATATTAATTGTGCATGTCTTCTTAAGTTTGTGTGTATTAAAATTAATATTTCATGTGGTAAAAAAAAAAATTTCAGACTTTTGAGTGTCTTGCATGGATTAATTTGATTCCATTATTTCTTATGGGGAAAATTAATTCGCCTTACAATAATTTTGGCATACGATGAGCTCTCAGGAGCGGATTAATATCGTAAGGCGGGGGTCCACTGTACAACCCTTAAAATTATTCTTAGCTGTCCTATAACTACTAAAACACTTAATATGGTGAGAAAATTAGGCATACCTAGTGTTGCTGATAAAATATATGAAACTGTTGTCTAGATAGGACTGAAACTACTAGTTAGTGATCACAACAATCTTCTTTCTAGAGAATTACTAGAAGATATAATTCATGGGACAAGTGAATTAAGCAACACACACCTCCCTATTCAAAAGTTTAAATTTGCTTAATATACAAAAATATGTGGGTTAGAATCTTTCCTCCGTAAATTAAGAGTGTCGTAAAAGGCGACTAAAATGCCGGGAGCAAGGGGCTGGTAACATCATCTCCTGTATAAATTACAGGAAGGATATACAGTATCTACACTCTGAAGGAGGGGTAGTTATATGTTTCAGTTTTGAAGTGTAGTTTAGGTATGCCTTTGACAAGACAATGATGATGAAAGTGTCAAGTGATGATGAAAGTGTCAAGTGATGATGAAAGTGTTAAGTGATGATGAAAGTGTCAAGTGATGATGAAAGTGTCAAGTGATGATGAAAGTGTCAAGTGATGATGAAAGTGTCAAGTGATGATGAAAGTGTCAAGTGATGATGAAAGTGTCAGTGATGATGAAAGTGTCAAGTGATGATGAAAGTGTCAAGTGATGATGAAAGTGTCAAGTGATGATGAAAGTGTCAAGTGATGATGAAAGTGTCAAGTGATGATGAAAGTGTCAAGTGATGATGAAAGTGTCAAGTGATGATGAAAGTGTCAAGTGATGATGAAAGTGTCAAGTGATGATGAAAGTGTCAAGTGATGATGAAAGTGTCAAGTGATGATGAAAGTGTCAAGTGATGATGAAAGTGTCAAGTGATGATGAAAGTGTCAAGTGATGATGAAAGTGATGATGAAAGTGTCAAGTGATGATGAAAGTGTCAAGTAATGATGAAAGTGTCAAGTGATAATGAAAGTGTCAAGTGATAATGAAAGTG